CACATATTCTCTCATTACAAATTTGTTGTGTTATCAAGTTTGTTTGTGAGTCCTTATGAGCTGACAGTGAAAACTACAGAAAGAAAGGTTTGAAATCCGGGTTTACTCAGCAGCCCATGACTTTACAGAAGACAGCCTTACAACTGGGAGCAGGGGTTAAACTTAACAGCTACAGGGTAGAAAACTATACAATAGCAGACTCTCCAGCGAAGTTATAAGGTTTTTAAAGATTTGGGTAATCAGAAAGAATATCCAACGACTGACAGCAAAATAAAATTTCAAAACAATTTTTAAAGACTATGGAGATTGGATTATATTTAAGATACAAAAATAAAATAATTGACATTTATAGAGTAGTTACTGTGTGTCAGATAATATTCTAGTTTTTTTTACATGTATTACGTCTAAAATCTTTCAAATGGAATCTTACATTTCATTGTCAAGAAAATATCTCTGGAATGGACTTGCTTTCTGAAATGGAAAGTCAGAAGTAGTCCTGCCAGAGATAAGTGAGCTGGAGGTGGGCTTGTGAGGGATTCGCAAGCTAGCTAGATGCACGCAGGCTAGCTAAGAGGCAAAGTTCCAGGCACACCGCTTCTATGCAGCAGAAAGAAGTAATATAATCTAGTATTAGCTAACTGTGTGCCAGATACTCTAATAAACATTTATAAACATTAACTTAAACATCAACAATCCTGCAGGACAGGAACCACAAAACTTCTCCTGACTTTACAGGTAGGAACTAGAGCTTAGAGTTCACCTAGGTCATGCTACTTTTCTTGATGTCAATCACTTTTACTTGCTAACATTTATGTTGCTCAAATTCATTTCATCTCTAAGACAGTGTTCATACCGAGGAACCAAGAGACTTTCACAGTTGCGCTGGGTAGTAAGAGGGCAGGTAGTCAATCCTCTCACATCAGTGGTCTTAAGACCCATTAAGGTTACAAGGACATCCAGGGTTGCACCACCAGCTAATGATGCCTCAGTAGCCCCTGACTTCAGGTTCAGGGCCTCTTTCATTAAGACTGTTAGTTATACGAGAGTGAAAGTGAAGAAAACAATTCTGACATACATAATAACTCCCAAATTAGTTTCTTATTGAATATAAACTAAAAATAGCATCAGAATTACCATGTAGCTAACTGATGATTAAAATGATGAAGTCCTTTACTTGAGAGAGCTGATGCCCCAGAGTAAAAGGTAACAAAGTACTACTTGTGTAACTTTGAATTTATATAGTTAATTACAGATAATAATTACCATTCACAACATAGCTCCAGGTTGTTGTTTTAGAGCTAAGGAAAATAAATAATAAAGAAGCTAATTAACTGTAGATATTGTGAAAGAGAAAAAAAGCAGGATAGTTAGGTGGCAACTATTAAGTTACCATCAGTTTCTACTATTTTTTGATTGCAGGTACAATGCAGTGAGATACTTAACAGCTTTGCTTCCAAAGAATCTTTAAATACTGGGTTTAGTATCACTTGGGATATCTTCAACTGCAAGTAATTGAAAAACCAGGCTGCAAGTGTTTTAAACAGTGAGGGGCTATTTGTATGTATAATACAAGTGTATATGTATAAACTTGTATAGCCAGAAGTCCAAAGGTGGTTAATTCAGCATCACAGTATTATCCCACAGACATTCCATCTTTCTGCTCTATCCCATTCGGTAGTCAGCCTGACTTCCTTCATGATCCAAGCTGTTCAGATGTCCCATGCAACACAACAATATCCAAAACAGAGAGAGGCATTTCCTTTTAGACATCTCTATTATTAAGAAAATGTTTTGAGCAGCTCCCCAGCAGACTTCTCCAGTCCCACTGACCAAGATTAGGTCAGGTGTCCCGATTCCACAATAGTTAGCAGGGGGGATGAGACCATTATCATTGGCATAAACAACCATTATTTACCTACTGGGTTAGAAAGAGCACAGCCTCTGTTAAATATAGGGCCCTGCAGACTGGGAACCCATATAAAAGCAGGTTTTCTTCCAAGAAATCAGGAGAAATAGACTTAGATGGGAAACCAACAGTATTCCTTAGAGTGAGCTTCTTTAGGATGTAGAAGAAACAACAGAATCAGTTCTACTCCTGCCCAGAGTTAGGAATTTCAGTGGTAAACTGAATATTGTGATGACTGTTATTCAGAAGGTGAAATATATTACTTGAACCTAGTAATCTACATAACTTTCAGTTTCCATTTTCATAGCAGACAAATGTGTTATTATACTTCAGTTAAACACTTTTTTTTGGTTTCCCATTCGCCCTGCCTTACCAGTGAGACTTAGATGAAGAAATATAAAGTTCAGCTAACCTTTAAGAGTGGCCTGAGGAAGATGAGGCAAGAATTTCTTTAGGTAACTAAAAAAGAGGTTTACATTAATTAGAGAAAAGGAATTAAACAGACTCTTTCCTGAAATGGGATTTTTTGAATTGTAAGGAGTTAAAAGAAAATACGAGTTGGAAGGTAGACGAGCAAATGGGGTGGGGAAAGGTTACTGAGTAGGGCAGGAGAAAAGTCAGATACTTTCATGGCCAGGAAAGAGCTGCTGACCTTATTGTGGAGAAGGGTAGATTATGAAGCATGAGGGAGGGGGCAGCATGCAACAAAATAATAATATTCATAACTGAGGAAGTTTTGTATTATTCATTAAAATACCATTTGAAACATTCTTTCAACTTTTGCAGGGTGCACCTTCAGAATAACCAAATTGCAGCGCTTTTTTTTTTTAAAGAACCATGTGTTTAATGTTTCACAGAACAAATTTGTTCTTCGTTATTCGGTTCATTATGAACAAAGTTGGATTGAATTTGGTTACCCAACCAACATGTTGTCAGATACTGCACAGATCATTTTTATCAGCTAGCTTTAAAATTTACGCCTTGTCTTAACAGGAAAAGGTGTGTGACATTTTTTCTGAGATTGCACCATTCTTTGAAAACTGGAAATACATGACCTATTTAATTGTCACCAGAATCATCCAAGTATAGCTAATAAATGTGCAATATTTCAATAAAATAAAACTTCAAATATTTTTATAACAGATCTTAAAGGGATCAAATACTTAGAGTTAGCTGTTCATAACATTACAAAAATGTAGATAATGTCACGTGTCTGATTATACAGTCATAATTTTTGGCTCAAAAAAATAACAAATAAAACGGATCCCTTCTGCCCTTGACTTAGGATATTTACTGATCCTCTTAAACCAATGCAGAACTCCTTAGATTAGCAATTTCTGCTTTAGAATCTCAACTTACCTGGAAGGCCAAAAAAAAAAAAAATAGATCACATCAATCACTTCCCTTATTTACCAGCCTTAGCAGCAAGGGACTTCGGAGCATTTGAAAAATTCAACTGCAACTTCAAAGAATAAAAATTTGCCAGCAGTGAAGATATCTAACAGAATAAAGGCTTAAAAGCAATTAATTCCAAAGATATGATTCTAAAAAGTATTTTAGCAATAGCAGTACTAGTTTAGTATACAAAGTATTCCAAGGTGACACCTTTTAAGGAGACAAAACTTTTGTCATGCTTGTTAAAAAGGATTCACCTTATAAGCACATTTTGTAAGAGTAGCTCTTAACATGTTACATGTCAGAACACTATTTAGAATAAAACAGACTTGTAAGAAATTTGTGAACTTAATTTTCCAAAGAGAGCTACCATTAAACCAAACAGCTTTACATTCTTTCCTGTTTAATACCACAAATTTTCACCTTTTGAAAGCTCTGAAAATGCAGAACAGTTGAGACAAACAACCAAGAAACACCTGAAGTTCAATCAGTACTAGGGCTCACGTTAGCCAAGCTCATTTTGTTGTGTTTTTTTTCCCCTTTTAACAACGTATCTAATTGAAATCTATTCTACACGTGGGGAGAGGGGGATGGGCTCAGCGGTAGAGCTCGTGCTTAGCAGGCACGAGGTCCTGGGTTTGAATCCCCAGTACTTCCATGAAAAATAAACCTAATTACCTCCCCTCTAAAACACAGACACGTACACACGCACACACCCAAACTGTGCTATACTATCACTTGCTTGGGAAGAATCATTAGTCTAACAGATAAAATGGCCCCTAGCAGTTCCTTCAACACGAATTAATCAATTCTATTATCTCTGAAAAAATATATTTTAAATGTATGAAACGTCTTTTTAAAATAGTGTTCAGATGTTGACATCTTTACATTAAAATACATGATCTGGCACTGTTCTGTAAATACTCTTGCATAATTCATACAATAAAAAGTAGCAGTTCTAATTTTTGAAAATCACTAAAGGCCACAGATATTTACAATATAAAGGGCTGCAGCAAACCAGTGTACAGTAAAAATGGCTGAAATAATTTGAATTGCAAAATATTTCTACTCTGACCACATTGAAAATTAAAACCTCATTCCACGCAAATAGAACAATCAAGATGAATACACAGAGACTGGTAGTTGCTAGACGGGGGAGGTTGTTGGGACGCCGTAAATCTACTAGACTTAAAAGGATTGAGTATATCACTCCCAGAGAAGAACTCTGATGAAAACTGTCTTCCCTTTCCTTTGATGTTGAAAGTTTTTTTCCCCTCAAAACGGCCCGCTCTTTGTGAAACCTTAAGATCACTCTCAATTCTTTTTAGCCAAAATCAGAATTTTAATAATTCTACCAACGCGGCAAACGGAAAGGTTAGTGAGGAAGCCGAGCAAAGCGAAGCATATTATAGACCCTGAGACAGATTAGTCAGCAGCGATATGTCAGGAGGGATGAGCAAGTGGGAATTAGAGGAGCTGGGCAGTGGTGGGGCGGGAGGGAGGGAGAAAGGGAGGGTCGGCAAGAAAATCCTGGACGTGGGGCAGGGACGGGAGAGCAAGCGTGTGACCCAGGACCAAGGGAAATAAGTAACAGGAGTCCGCCGGCGGGGAGCCGCCAGAGAAGCTGCGAGTGTGCTCAGATCCAGCCCACCCTCCCGCCCTACTTTTTCCTCCTGTCGGAGAGGCAGCGACCAGTCACCTGGAATGCGAGTTCCGCAGGGACTCGATGAGGCGCTGCTTCTGCTGCTGGAGGCTGGTGAGGCCACCGGGAGACCCAGCTGCGGAGGAGGAGGCGCTCTTGCTCAGGGGAAAGAGCCAGCTCATCCTCCACGGGGCCCCGGGCCCGAGGCCCTGGAAGGCTCTGGCCTGCTTCTCCCAGTTGCTCAGCCCGGCAGCTCTCCAGCGACAGAGGAGGAGCGGGCAGAGACGCCCCGGCCCCAGTGCTGGGGAGCCGCGTCTTCTCTAAGCAAGGCCGGCCGGGGGTCCTCGGAGGCCGGGAGGCATGCTGTTACAGCGGGCAGCTGGAGAGAGGGAACTCGCCGCCCGGGACTGGCAGTCCTACCTTCACCGCCCGGACGCCGCGGGGCCGCCCCGGTCTCCTCCACCCAAATCTCCGTCACCTGCGTGCTCCGCCCCCTCTGCGTCTTGCGTCATCATCTGGCGCCCCCCGCCCAGACGTGCGAGAAGCGACGGCGCAGCGCGGTGCGGCGCTGCTCCGGCTCCCCTTTCCCCCTTGCCGGGCGAGAGGTGTCTATGGGGCACCCGCTGCCGCCGCCGCTACCGCCACCGCCGCCGCCGCTGCGTGCTGTCTCTATGGCGAGGAGGAGGAGGAGGAGCGCGAGCTCAGCGACACAAGTAGATCTTGCGTCTGCCTCAGCCCTGCGGGGGGGAGGGGCGGGTTGGGGAAATAGAAAGGGGGCGGGAACGATCAACCCAAGAGGGTGCGCGATGGCGCCATTGGAGCGCGGCTGGCGGAGGAAAGGGCCGGGAGGAGGGGGGAGGGTAACCGGGGCTGGGGGTATGTCAGCGGGTGGCGCGGACTGATGACGCGAAGGCTTTGTACCTGGGGCTTCGAGGCTGTGGGGCGGAAATTGGGAGTGGAGGGCGGTGGCCTAGATCCTCAGCTCCCCGTTTTCCTTCACGCAGCGGTGTCTGGGAGTCAATCGGGTTCCAGTAAAGGGTTATCAGCGCCTTCGCACTGGCTCTCTGCCAGGGATGAGAGTTATCCGTGACTTGAACGTGTTTGTACGATCCTCGCGTTTCGTTGGGAACCCGCTGTTCGGAGATGCTGCCTCCAGTAATGAGAAGGCCTCTGGTGCCTCTTTGGGGCTTCTGGAACTGTAGTAGAGAGAGAGAGGTGGAGGAAAGCGATTTTAAACTACAGGGTCTTTCCAAAGTGTATGTGCGTGTGTGTATATGTGTTTAGCGGCGTGAAGAGGATTACAGAGGAGGGGTACCCTGGATCTTTGGTTTCTGTTCTTAGAGCATTCGAGGTGACTGAAGAGTTTAGAAGGGGAGGTTACAATTTCCTTTTTTACATGTTACCATTTTGTTTTCAAACTTGTGTGAAAAATGAAGGAGCATTTGGAATTTCCCTGCTCAAGAATCAAAGTGTTGGTCTGTACTGTTACCATTATGTACCACGACACCTGTGTTTATGGACCAGAAACGTGACGTGTGTTCGGTAACCAGGGAAAATGCTCTGATTTTTAGGAAATTAGGAAGAAACAATTTAAAATATACTATATTGCTTCCTTTCTTTCTCCCATCCTCAGTTAAGGATATTGAAACAGTTTCTGTGGCTGATACTTATTTTTCAGAAGGAGCTTTAAAAAAAAAAAAAGATTTACTTTTAGCCCCTCCAGTCTGACTTGAATAAACTCCAGTAAAGTAGATATTGTAACCAAATCAGACTTTGAATGTTAAATTAATGAGGAATAAAAGCAAATACTACCTTTGTCCTGGTAACAACTGATCTTGTCAGATGTATATCAGTATTTAACTTTTCATTTTTATCTGGAGATGGATGTCTTTATAAAATTTTATTCAAAGAGTGGGTTGAATTCAGAGCAATCTTTAATGGAAAGTTTTAAAAAATGATTAGTATATACACAAAACCTACTATTTTTACATAACATATTAGAACCAGGGAACCTGTGTTGTAGTCCTTTTTCTCCTGATTAGCTGTGTGACTTTCACGGTCTAGTCTTTCAAGTCACTTTCTAAACTTTGATTTTCTTATGAATCAGGGACTCTGAATAAGTAATCTCTTAGGTTTCTGTCAACTCAATTGTTGTATGATTCATATTCCTGATATAGCTGGTTCTTATTTTGACAGGTACACAAATAAAGGATAAAGTATTTTATGAAACAGTTCTTCAATCAAGTATAACATTTTGATGCTTGGCAGCTAGACTCCTTGTGTCCTCACTATGCCAGCAGCAACTGTAGATCATAGCCAAAGAATTTGTGAAGTTTGGGCTTGCAACCTGGATGAAGAGATGAAGAAAATTCGTCAAGTTATCCGAAAATATAATTACGTTGCTATGGTATGCCTATGAGCAAAATTCTTAAAATATTTTCTATGAGAGAGGAAAGGGGCTTTTAAACATCTTGAGTTCCACCCTTTGGTTGATTTTTTAAGGAATTAATTTAATTATGAAAAGAGAATTTTGTCAATGACCTCCAACCAAAGACCACCAGGAAAACACCTGTGGTGTGACAAGTGGGGTTTTTTACTCACTGCATTGAGGGAAAATGCAGTGTTAGAACTGTGGGACACTTGAGTAAGAAAGTGTTAAAAAGACTTTTAGAATCTGGGCTTGTGTCAGGTGGTTTTAGGGAGGGAGTGAAGAAGCAGGGCTTTGCTCTGGATTGGATGCTGGTGGGAAGCTGGGTGATTCTGTGGTAGGGTATCTTAATAAGTCTCACCTAGAATGAGAGAAGATGAGAGGGAGGCTAAAGCTGTCAGGAAGCAACAGTCACTCAGTCACAATAGAAGGATGTGGGATCATTTTTGTGGTTTGGACAATGTCTGTTTTTGCATATGTTCAGCTACGGTGACAGAGTGGCCTTGTCTGAAGTTAAGAGTGTGAAACTGTTTCTGTTCAGCAGAGGAACATTAGCACCTAGCTGTGAATGTCTGTTTTGGCTGCTCTGCTGTTTTCTAGATTATTGGCTCTGAGAAGTAAGAGATTCATGTCTTAATCATTCTTTCTCCCCTCAACACCTATCATAACACATAGTGTCCAATATACTGGTTGTTGGGTTGAACTGGATTTAGTTAAGTTTTAATTTCTTTACTACTTCATAGTGAGGTAGTATTTAGGTTTTGTTCTTAGTTCCCTAATTTGACTTTTGATACTTGTATTACTTTCTTATTCTATGTAATCCAAATAAATAAATACACTTCTTTTGGGAGGGGCAGGTTGACTGGCTAAAATATGAATATTTGAGTGTACATAGTGTTCTATATAATAGATGTACTTTACCCATAATTAGAATTGAAGTTATTTTTTTCCAGTAGAAATTCATAGTGATTATTTATTTTCTCAGATTATAAGGAATGACAACACTAGAGATGTGATAACACTCTACAGGAATGAGTGGGTGGCATGCAGTGTTTAAGGGTGTGCTTTCTGTGGACTGTAGAGAGAGGGAGTACTGTTAGTGCAAGAAATTAGGAGGGTTTTTGGTGTTTAGATAAATCTTGTTTCAGAAAAGCAATTGGAAGATACGGTGCATTTTCCATTCTTTTTAACCAGTTCTTCATTGCTTTTAACATTAGAACGCTGTGAGCATAGTTTCACATACTCCTTGAGAAACATGAGTTTGTGATTTTTTCCCCCCTTCCTAGGGAATAGAGTACTTAGTTGCATTTATCATGTGTACATTATACATAGTAATTTTTTACTGATACTATATTTAAAGTAAGAAGAAGTCATTAAGATAGTAGAGTTTTATTTTATGGTTCTAAAAAGTAATGCCATTCCTAGTTAAAAGGTACTTTGAGTATGAACTGTGTAGAATATCACCTATAATAGGATTCTTTGACTTGTACCCCAAATTATTTATCCTTGGAATTTGTGGATTGTGGTTTCAAATATTTACTAAATAATGAATCTTAAAACTATTTTACAGGACACCGAGTTTCCAGGTGTGGTTGCAAGACCCATTGGAGAATTCAGGAGCAATGCTGACTATCAGTACCAGCTGTTGCGGTGTAATGTAGACTTGTTAAAGATAATTCAGCTTGGACTGACATTTATGAATGAACAAGGAGAATACCCTCCAGGAACTTCAACTTGGCAGTTTAACTTTAAATTTAATTTGACGTAAGTAGGAAAGTAATATAACCCAAACTTCTTTTTTAGTTTTTTAGTTTTCAGATTAATTTCTCTTAAGTATGATGAATGAAATTCAAAACTAAACTTGGTGTAGTTATCCTGAAATAGTTAAAACCTAACATTTCAAAAGGTTATCCTTCTTTTTGTTATGGGACCAAAAAATTAGGATAAAGACTTTTAAATTCAAATACTTTGAGTTTTAGAGATGTTATTTGAAAAGTATGACTGCCGCTTTTTCAAAATTTAGAAAACTGGGTATTGAAAGTACTTCTTGATAGAAAAAAATGACCTTGCAACATTAATTTTGCTTTCAAACTTTGTGTGCAATTTGAAATATATCTGTGTTTGTTGTAATAGTTATCCTTCTTATAAAGAGATTTTTATTATGGTCAGTTTATGAGCAGATTACACGTCATAGGTGGTAAGATATTTCGTGGAAACTTGGGTGCTTTGTCCTTTTAAATCAATATTATATAATATAATCCTTATATTCCCAGGTCAGCCCACAAAATCTCTTGAAAGTTATGTTTAGAAGAAGTAATGGTATTTCTTAAACCTGGTGTTTCTTTTAGAAACAATTCAGAATCTGATTTCTTAAGCCCTGGGTCAGAACCTAGTTTCCTACTTAACAGTGTTTCTATATCATTGGTAGGAGTAGTCTTGGTAGCTCAGGGAGGTTTCCCATGTCTTAGGGTGAGGGCAGATTATTTATAAACTGTACGCTGGGGAAATGTCTAATACGTTTTAAGTATGTTACTATGTTGCAGTATCCTTCTATTTGACAGCCTCTGCTTGTATCATATGCTGTAACATCTGATTTGAAAAATAGTAAAAGAAGCTATAGGACGATTAATGGTAGTGCCAATGTAAGAAACTCCCAGGCTCTGTAATGTGGCATTTAGCATATAAGAGCTGAAAAAAAAAGCAGGACTGATGATTTTAGAGGGTAGTGTTGTCAGTGGTTTAATAGTTTGGCTTATAATTGTATTATGTTTAGCCTGACTCTTTGTTTTGCTCTGTTGGATTTAATAATGTACTCTCCAGAACTTTGTAAAGGGTGAAAAGTACTCATCTCTATCCAAACTGATAATAACCTTTTATAAGTATTACAG